GTCTTAGGAGAATTGAGGAACTGCAGGTCCACGAGACTGGGGGGCTCTAGTTGGTGCAACAGGACCATGGGATGTGGGAAGGAGGCTGAGATCTGCTGAACTGTACATGGGTGGTTGTCTCTTGGATTCTATCCTTTTTTGGTGGTAGATGGAACAAAGCTAGTGAGGTGCTAGTTGGAGGAACTCTGTATTGGGGACTTGCAGAGAGAGAGGAGGAATCAAGGCAAGGTGCATAGAAATGGAGAAGGAAGGCCCATGAGATGGCCTCAGGGTGCTGGATCCTTCTTCATTTTCCAAGACAGCCAAGACATCCCCCTTACCCCCGACAGGACAGGTGTCAAGACACTGACCCCACAGGTTGCCCCACCCCTATCAATTCTGGAGGAGAGACCTCAGAACAGAGGTTTGGGCTGGGTGTGCTCTTGGGACAGGTGACAAGGACAGGCTCAACCAGGTTGACAGATGTCCTAGGACAGATGGATTCCTCTAGTATAATGTTACAACAGCAAGAGTCCCCTCAGAACAGACACAGACTAAAAAGGGAACAGCCACCTTCCAGGGATCCCACATGGACCCCCTGGAATCCAATCCTGTTGCTGACACCTCTCCCCAAAATGGCAACCCCAACGTCTTTGTGTGGGGAAGGGGAGCAGTGGCAGCAACAACGGCATCGGGGGGACTGTGAGCCAGAAACTCCCTCCCCGGAAGGGAGGAGAGCCCAAGCCCGGGATAGAGAGGTGCCCTGTGTGAGGACACTGGGGAGAGAAATCAGGGGGAAGATCTCACACTGTCTAATGCCCCAGGACAGACAGAGCCCTGAGGAAACGTGAGATCTCAAGGTGGTGCCAGCCAGCACCAGGGAGCAGAGGGTGGGATGCTGGGTGGTGAGACCTGTGAACCTGAGAAAGAAACGATGGGCGAAGGGTGATTCCACGACACTCAAGAGTCAGGCACTGAGATTCTGCCACCAAAAAGCGAGTGTCAACTCCCATCCCTGACCTGACCAAAGGAGAGCAGGGTCAGATTGGGGACCACGCCATAGACCTGGGGGAGCTGAACCTCCATCAACACTGAGTCCGGGCGCTTTCAGGATGGACATCACCTCTGATGTCCTGTCCTTCCCTCACCCCGCAGGTCAGCCCAAGTCGGCGCCCTCGGTCACTCTGTTCCCGCCCTCCTCTGAGGAGCTCAGCGCCAACAAGGCCACACTGGTGTGTCTCATCAGTGACTTCTACCCCGGCGGCGTGACTGTGGCCTGGAAGGCAGACGGCAGCGTCATCAGCCAGGGCGTGGAGACCACCAAGCCCTCGAAACAGAGCAACAACAAGTACGCGGCCAGCAGCTACCTGAGCCTGACGGCCGAGAAGTGGAAAGCTGCAAACAGATTCAGCTGCCAGGTCACGCACGATGGGAGCACTGTGGAGAAGACAGTGGAACCCTCAGCATGTTCCTAGGATGCTGATCACCCCCACCCTCGGGGAACTGGAGCCCCGGGACCCCGGGGGGAACACCCGTCCCAAACCTCAGCCGACCTCCTTCCTGCACCCAATTAACTCTCAATAAAATGTCCTCATTGTCAATCAGACATCAAGCTCTCTGCTCATTTTTTGTTTAAGCATTTTGTCCTGAACTCTCCAACCCAGGGTGAACACAATTCTTTTGGCCCGGTCA